CCCGTTCTTTATCCATGCCTGTTAGCAAGGCATTCATCAAGGTCATTGTTAGTGATAAAATAAAAATGATTCACCTCAGTAAGAGAACGGTTCCGATCCTTTAAAGGAGCTGCTTTGCCCATCTCTAGTAGTTAATGGTAAGAGTGAAACTGTTACTGCGTCTGGTTTGCAGCTTTCCTGGTAGAACATTAGTTTACACATTTTTTACTATCTGTGAACAATTATAAATTATACATTTCTTCCAACTAAATACTGAATGCTCTAAAACTTAAAAAAAATTTCCACCAGTCATTTTAACTACTTTGATTTATGACTAAAAATGCAGCAAAAATTTTGAATCAATAATCCATGATAGCTTTTCTGTTATATAGGTTAAAAGAATGCCCTGCATATTTTCCATATTCAGTCAGTCTTTTAAACCCTGCATAATGAAAAAATGAAACCCTGCATATTTTCCATATTCAGTCAGTCTTTTAAATGTAGGAGTATTAATAACTCATACCAAAAAATACACACCAATTATGGAATATTGCTGTTTTCACATGTGTTAGCTGGTATTTTAAATTATTTTAATTAGCAAATAATACAATTAAAATATTTTTAAAGGGAATTAGTTTATCATATTCTTATGTTAAAGGTAAAGACAACAATGGATGCTTTTCTTCTACCACACAAAAATAGGCAATCATTCAACTGATTTATTATATTGTAGTTAAGCAATCATTATTCTCCGCATACATAATATTCATTTTTTAATAATAATAATTAATAAAGCATCCAGAATCCTTGCTTCTGACATATAGGTGTAAAATCGTAACAAATGTCTACTATAATTTGAACAAACAGATATGAAACAGAAATAAAAAATAAATAAAATAAAAAACTAATGAAACAACTTACATTTAATGTGGAATAGTTTATTTTCTACATCTAATTTTCTAACATTAAAGCAATATACAAAGGGAAATATGAGTGCATAAATGCACAACAATATGGTCCTGTTTATGTATATTCGTGTAATGTATGAAGTGCACAAATGAAAATAACTCTGGCATTAAAAAATTATATATTATACTAAGTCTTATGACATAATTAAAAAGTACCTTTATAGATATTTAACTTATAGAAATCTAAGCTATAACTTCCTGCTGATTAAAAAACTTCATGATGTCTCAATTGGTGTTGAGCAGACTAATATTTATGCAATCACAGCTTTAAACCGCTGAGAACACTAGAAAAAACACATTTGTATCACATGCATGTAACTTTTACTACTGCATAAAATACATTCACAGAACTTATGTGTATAAAAAAATTAATAATTTCATACAAATCAATGACATGGGTTTACTTATATTTTGCATATAATTTTAGTTGAAAAATTACTATAAAACTGAATAACAAAAAAGAGAGCTACCTTTTTTTTTAATATATGTACAATGATAAAATTGAATTTTGTCATTAAAGGCCAAGTTCTCTTAGATTAAAAATATATTTAGTTATTTATTACTTTAAGAATTAAAAAAGGAAGCTGCATACTAACTATAGAAACTGTTAATGCTTCGACGGAGTAAAAAATTTTATATATTAAACATGTTACTTCAAGAGAGTAGTATACAAGTAATTTTTCTGTTGATTTCACAGCAGAGACTATTTTCTTAAGCACAAAAAATAGATAAAACATAAAAAACCAGGCATAGACATATCTGATATTGCAAATACCTAACTTTATATTACTCCTATAAACATATTTTAATAACAAATATTACAACACAGAACAATTTCAGTCAAAGGGACAAAGTACTTTACAGAATATATCAAGAATATAATTTACAATTTAGCTAATTTTGTTTCTTAACATTAAATCTCCTTTTTTCACTATGCTGCATTAGCACAAGCAATTCTTATAGCAAACAACCATTTAATTAAAAAATAATACTATATTATTAAATAAACTAATATTTAATGCCATCAAATCAGTCTATCATATATTTATCACATGGTCAAAAAATGTGAACAATTGAGCATTTTGAATTGTTACTCAGTTTAAAGAGATATTCCAAAGTTGAAAGAAATTAAAGAATTTTTTTTTAAGATTGAGAAATAGTCTGTTCATTGCTTTACAAACCAGCCTGCATCTTTCCAAACAACAAGAGAAAGATTATCCATCTTTTTTTCTAATTGCAAAAAGATAATGCAAAAGTATGAATTATTTTAAAAGATTACCATGTGATAAATACTTTATAATTTAATACTTTTTCACGTTGCTCGAATTAACATAAGCACGTTTTCCAAGACATATAAAAAGGAATCGCTTATTACTGCTCTTTCGTTATATATAGTTCTGATTATATTATATTACATAGAAAATATGAATGGAAAGATTGAAAATGTGACATAAAAGTATTTATGTCAATTTTAAAGAAATGCCATATAATGCATATATTTATCAAGTAAAGACACAAATGCTGCTATGCAAAACTTGTAGGTTAATATTAACATCTACTTTATATGAAGAAGGGGAAAACTGAAATGTTAAAACTGAAAAGTGTTTGTTCACAAAATAGGTAAACTTATGTTCTTCATATACTACTGAAAATTTTGCATCATACAACAAAAAGAAGATTTTAAAATGAGGAAAGATCAACTATCCCTTACCCTGGAAAAAATTTTATACTATAAAAGCACATCTATTTGAAACGTCTTTAACCTTTTGGAGCAGCAGCTCTTGGTAACTTTTAGGCGAGCTTTCTACAATATATATATATATATATATATATATATATTTAAATTACATTTTTTTTAATCACATGAAAGAAAAAGCAGATTAAAATCTAAAACAAAATGATTAATACCAATTATAAACTTCAAAATTTAATTTTCATTCATTTATCACACAACAATAATATTATTGCATGATAAAATTAGTAAAACAGGGTTCTTACTAAAATTAAACTTTCATTTCTCTAACTAAATTGTAAAATATCCTTGATCACACATGACAAGCAAGTTATCATGTTCAGTAAAAATACCTGAATAATTTTACATAGTTTTATGAGAAATAACAAAACTAAATTAAAGCATAATAAAAAGCTACTTATTACTGTGATACAAATAATATGTGTTTGAAATATGCATTTAAATCATTAACGGAATGAGAAAAGATTTTTTACAAGAAACAATCTCCCATTCACGGAATGAGAAAGGATTTTTTACAAGAAACATACAATCTCCAAAATATTTTTCATTCCAGGGCAAGAGAGAACAACAATAGATCATTCATAATAAATATTACTCCAATTACATTTCAAAGAACCTAAAATTTACACATAAGGCGACTTCTAAATTAAATTATTTACTTGTGAAGGATAAAATCTTTTACTTCTAAAGACATCAGTGTTAGATAGATTATATTTCTAGGTGGGAATTACAGCTTATTAATAGCAGATAGACAGGAAGCTATTAGTTGATAAAAATATCAGATAAGAGATGAGTAAAATATTTTTGGGGAAGGAAAAGATCAGAATAATTTTTCCTTTATCTTCTCCTTAAGAGGGACAATTTTTGATTATCTGTCACTTTCCAAAACATGTTTTACATGTTAAACATGCACCTTTTAATATTTCAGAGAACTAATCTATATTTTTTAAAGTGTTTCGACTGTTTGAAAAATATATTTTCCCCACCAATTTTTCTTTTTCTGTTCAAGACTTTCCAACTTAAAAAGAAACAGGAAAAAATGTATAACGGAAAATCTAATGATTAATGGAGTCAAATGATAATTAGAGTATTACTGAAAATGATCAACTTTTTTCTAGGTTTAGCTCCAATTTTGAAATATGAATGAAGTTAACAATATTAGACAAATGAGATAAGGTCTAGCACAGCGATTCTCAATAATTTTTTGCCCCATGCACCCTCTTCACCATTGCTAGAGAATCATCCCCCCAAACCCCCTTTCCAAAACTAAACGCTTAACAAGTAAATAAACGGCTGACAGCATTCCCCATCTGAAACTATGAATTTCTCCCCTCCAGGGATTGAGAATTCCTGGTCTAGATGGTAGTAAGGATAAGATAAAAATTCAAAAATTAACTGTCAGCACTTATCATCTCTTAATTAGCATTATTAAACAGGCTATAAAAATAAGTAATTACAATTTGTGGAAATTGTTGCTGAGAAATTTTTAAAAATTATATTCAAACAATTTGCTTCAATTATGATGCTATCTATTAACAACAAATTTTATCAGACTAGTCCATCGCAATAGTACTAAAAAAATCAGCAGTGTACAGAATATAAAAGACATTCACTATGCTATGATTGCAGACCATTAAATTAAACATTTCTCAATATTTACAGCAGTAAAATAACAATTATGTTAGTAACCAGATATGTTCAGTACACATGCTCAGTAATGGTGACATCTTTCAATTCACAAATAGAATAATGTCTCAGTTATATGCATTATAAACTATTTTGCTAAACAAATACATTTGCAATTTTTTAAGTTTTGGTCCAAGAGTAGAACATTCCAATACTCCTTTTCTTCTCCCAAAAGATAATTAACATTACAGGTATACTTAAATCCTAATCATATCATCTATCAATAACAGAATGGCTTCAAAATATAGACATACATATTTTTTACTGGATGCAATGCACAGACACTTCTTAAAAAACAACAGATAAATTATTTTTAATACACTTTAAATTGAATGGATTAAATTATTTTAAATAAGTCACATGTCTGTTGATGTGAAACAGCTTTCCAAAGTTTCCATGAAAACATTCCCCCAAAGACAGAGAAGCCACAGTATAATAAATAATATAACCTACAAGTTTTTAAACCTACTTGAAACACACATTAAAAGAGACAGAGAGAGGCTATAACAGACCTAATTAAGAAATGAGATGTAACTTGAACAGCATTGTGTGTTAATATATATATCTCCAATAACACTGGAATTTATGAACAGCAAATTTGGATTATCATTTTATTTAATACTTTCTAAAATTTCCCTTGCAGACAGTTTATAAGGAAGGGAAGCCTTTTTTTTTTTTTTTTTTTTAAATAAAAAAAATTTAATGCTTATCATGCAATCACAAAATCAGTTTCATTAATGTTTATAAATTTACAAACTGTTTACTTTTTGAAATCATCAAAGCATATTAAATATTTTTTTTCACTTCATACGGCTATGCACAAGTTATGTCACTTATACAAGATATGCCAGCCATTACAATTTTAAAAAACAGAAGTTTTAATAGTTAGCACAAAATAAATAACTATTTGTATGTTCTCCTCATACATTTTGTGAAAAAAAGGTTTGCCACACTGCCACTCTCTCCTGGAGGGAAAAAAATTATACTCCTATTACTATTAACAAAGCTTGTTCACTAAAAGTTGAAATTTCCTCTAAAAATATATAACGCATTACTACCTGCACACTGTAATCCAATATTTAGATATAATTGAATTTTTAATCAATTTATCTTAAAATTAAGATGCATTCTTCAATTACGTACTCTTTTTTCACATAATGTAAATATTGATGTATCTCAGTTACATGAACTCCTGAACATAAAAAGGGTAAAATACTTAAAAAAAATTTCCAATATTTGCTTCAGCATAAACTGCATATGTACATAGTGACTAAGCATCCTTTTGCAACAGTTATGAATAAAATTCCAAAATATAAATATGAGAATTATGTAGTTATTTCATATTATAATGCTCTTTAGAATCAATTAAATAAAATAATATAAAATTCAGTCAACATATTCAAAAGTTAAGCAAACGTATAACCTATCTGTAACTAATTACTTCTGTTTAAAAAAGTATAAAAAATTCTAACTTTGTTGAAAGCTATCAGCTTTTTATATTTAAAAATTTCATTCATACTGAATCTACTGTGTTAAATACGGCATATAGTTGATCTAAAGAATAATATTGCTATAGAAACAGACAGCTGCATATAATAAAGTTCCATATTATCAACTGCAAATTTTTATTAACTCCCACTGCTGTCCACATCGTGACAAAGTATGATTCATGCTCTTTATGCTACAGCTTCTGATCACTAGACTACAATTCTCTGTAACTTCTCAATCAATCTGCTACTTCAAAACAGTAACAGATTCACAATCACAAAAACTATTAAAAATTACATTAATTACAGTGTTCCCAAAATAATTTATTAGATAATACAGTAACAAGAAAGTAATTTTAATAACTTGCTACTCTGACTGAAAGTTAATACATCTCTGAATAGTTTTTTTAACAATAACTAATTTAATAAAACTATAGAAATAAAATGAATCTTTTCTATAGGTCACATTTAAGTATGCTTTTCTTAAAACTTCACACACACATATATATACATGTATATACTCTCTAAAATTCATTGTTAAAAAGACTTTTTAAAGTTAACAGAAAAAGCAGTTAAATAGGTAACTTTGTTTAGTTAATACAAACAATATAAACAGACAATTTTGTTCCAAAGTCCAAGATGCTTTATACTGGGAAATTTATTATTTACATGGTAGTACAAACATAAATGGACACTCAGACTGATAAATTTTTATAGTTGCACATTTCAAAAACTTAAGTATATAAATTTGACAGATATCCTGAGTTAAAATGATTTCAAATGTATTTACTTTGCAGGTTTATAACATTATTATGGCCATAATTAAATCTACAATTTTTTTTTTTTTTTAAGAATTCTTCTAAAAACATTTCAAATGTGCTTTACATAAACACGTAACATATTTCACCATTAAAAAATAGCATATGTAAAAAAGAATAAAAATTATTGAAAGAAACAGGCGTCATATTTAACACATAAGTATGAAGGAACCTTTAAAGTATTTTTCATGACATTAATTAAATGGTTATGGGAAAAGTGAGGATAGTTTATATATATCACAATTTGAGACAAATTATTCATACTTATTTTATACAAAACACGTGCACACATGCACATACAAATAAAAAGAAATGATGGGGGAGGAGAACTAGATTCTTCTATTTGCTTTCCAATACCTGAGATAACAGGCAGAGTTATTTGCATCTACTATTAACTAACAATAAATACTAAAATACATATTACAAATATAAAATGATCATATTCTGTTAAAAATAAGAACATAGATGTTTAATAATACCAGCAACATAAATTTTCTTAAAGAATACCTAATAACAAATCTTTGCAAAGAAGACACTTCCAACTTGGATTTCCCCAAATTACAAGTATAATATTAACACAATAAAAGGCATTCTCATGTGTTGCACATTCCTTTGTTCCATTATTAACAGAATACCAGGAATAGTCACCTCACATCACACTGGAGACATCGTATAGTATAAAACTGTCAATCAGTCACAGGGATATACAATATACTTTCAGAAGCAAACATGAAATTATCAAACACTCTAAATATTTACCTCTGAACATGACCTTCAAAACAGCATAGAATTTATCAGAAACTGTATAAGATTTATCCACTGGAAATATATATATATATTTTTTAAATATAAGCATCTTATAATTTCGTGGCATGACTATACCGTAAATTTTATTAGGAGCAGACTGCTAAAATGCTTGTGAAAGCTAGAACTGGGCAAGTAGTCCATCTGTGACTCGGTGCAAGTGAGAATTGTCAGCCGGAAAGTTTATCAACAGTTTAAAAAGTTACAGGTAGACACAGAAAGACAATGTTAAATAAATATTCAGAACTTGACGCAAGAGAAGAAAATTAGTTAAATACAGATCTATACATAAGAAAATTTGTCCTTAGCAATAATTAAACATCATATATTCCTACCATTATAATCCACTATACAACGTACCATCCAAAATATTTAAACAATTAACATAAATAGAAAATCAGAAATTCAACAAAGACAAGCAAAATATATGAAAACAAGAGTGAAATAGATTTTTTTTTTAAATATATGATAAAATGTTATGCAAATCATCTAAATTTTAACATAAAAATCTCTTTTAGGACACAACCATAATGATTAAATTTAAAATCATATTAAACTTGGCAACAAAAATAAGATGGCTTGATATTATTAGCAATGCAGGCAAGAACTGAAAACTCAGATTATCTTGTTTGATTGATCTAGTTAATATTTCAGTCATCATGAAATCACCCAGATGATAACTGGATAGCTATACGAAATTAATTTAAATAAAATATTTCATTATTCAAGGTAATACCATACTTAAAGTTTCAATTTATTTACACAACCTAGTTCTCAGGTACCATAACACTGAAAAGTGTTTGAGTTCTTGAAGAAACTAATAAAAGGAGAGCATGTGTCTATTTGGCCTCCAGATATCTGTTTTGGTACAATTTGAGGCTAGCCCAGAGAAGAACGAACGGCTTAGCTGCCTGCCTTCAGATTGCCAGAATGTCATGCAGTTGCAGTAGAAGTTGAAGCCCCTATCTGTGCTGCAGTAACACTGCCACCTGGTGCTGTTAATGAAACTGAGTTGCTAATATTAGAATCAGCTGCCATGTGGGACATTCCTCCAGAGCTAGTATCAACCACAGAACTAGGATTATTTGTTCCAATAGATCCATGAGGATTGTTTTGACTACTATTGCGAATATGCAGTGGAATCAGAATGGAATTCAATGAGGGTTGGATCTTCAGTTCTGAAAATAAAGATATGCCTTTAGTTTTAATTTAAATGGTCCATGAAAGGGAGGAGAATAAAGAGACAGCAGATATTTAAAACAATTAAAATACTGGCACCTTCCTTCTTATCATCAGGAAATAAGCACTTGCATTCATTAGATAAATAAATTAGGAAATAAAAAACTGAAAAATAATTTAAATATTGTTCAAATTAAATATAAGTATATTCCACACTACAAGAGTATAATATTCCACACTACAAGAGTATAATCTAGACACTGATAAACTGGGATTGGTGAAGTCAAAGTATGGACGTCACTGATCAAACGGTACTGTCAGATTACAGTAAATGATTATAAATCTCAGCTTATAAACCAAGGCCAGTGATATCTGCATGTCAGTAGTTAGGACATATTATGGTTACACTACACCTTAGAAACCATCTGAAGATGTATGAAATGGTGCAAATAACACAGTCATTAGAACAGTAATGACAATTCTTTTGAGCTTTGCATGTGAAAATTTGGGAAAACCCAAGCTCTGGCACCAAGACACACATTGAAATATTCATAACTGTTTTATATTTTCAACCCTATTTATAAAAAAAAAAAAAAAAAAAAAAAATGACGTGTACACCACATGATTTCCTCATATGGAATAAATTGTACACATTTTTTCCTGCATTTCATTTAAACATATTAAATTAACAGTTAAATATTCTGAATTAAATCTACATCGTTGATAATACATAAACCACAACAGAATAAATGCACTATATTTATTTACCCTAGCGACACTTTGGCACTAGGTTCACTTAACAGCGTTACATCTAATTTATTTTATAACTCAAGAGTGCACAAAAATTATATCATCTGAAGAATAAATGGAAGTTATATTCAAATACTATAATAAATCTAAAACGATGTAAAAAAGAAATTAAACAAATAAAAGAGACAGTTTTCACAGACGATTCAGCGCAGCTTGCCCAACGCGCATGCGCTAATTAATTCGGTTCTCATTTCATGGCAAGGCAAAAATACATAAAAATTCAAAATATTTTCATTAAAAATTGAAAGATATAAAAAACATAAAATACCAAGTACAGTTACAACAATTAAAATTACAGTTTCTATGCAAAAATAAGCTAATAACTTAAATGATAATTCCAGAATGAATTATGCATAATTTAATTTGCAATAAGAGAAGAAGACCTAACTTTGTTGTTATAAAGCTTAGTTTCTCTAGATTGGCAACAAATCCACTATTCTGTCAAGCTTCAAATGTAAACAAATACGGCTGCTATTGTAAACAAAAATTAGGCTTAGCCTTACTTAAAAAACTTTTAAACTGTTGATAAATCCACAATTATTGCATGCAGGTTAACTAAAAGCATAAAAATCTTAACTGGAAGCTAAGAACAACATAATTCAATCATTTTTAAAGCACAAACATATTAGAATAAAGAAACAGAGCTGAGTAACAAAGTGGACATATACATACATATATTTACTTTTGGTGTGGCCGATTGCAACCAAAATAGGAAATGCGTATCTACGTGTTATAGCAGTCCTAAGTACAAAATTTTAACTTTCTGAGGCTACTTGTTTTCGAGTTATACGAGTTATATATAGTATCGAACAGATTAATTGAAACAAGATGAAAATTTGCATAAAATCTTTTATCATTCATTTCAATAATAGAAACAAATTATTACGATAAATATTTTATGTGGCCTCTCTTAGCCTCAATTAAGAGTTTGATCCTCTTTGGCATTGAATCCAGAAGGTTTTTCCAGGTTGTCAGCATCCTTTCATCTCTAAAACATATATTGATAATTGCCATTATTAATTTTTCCACTGTGGTACAATCCGATGTAGACAATCGAGTCTTGCAAATTGCCCACAGATTCTCTATCGGGTTGATGTATGGTAAATTCCCAGGTCAATCTAATACGGTGATATGGTTTTCCGAAAAAAAATTGACCATTTTTTCTGAAGTATGGCAGGAAGCCAAATCCTGCTGGAAAATTCCCTCGCCATTTGGCCACCATTTTTTCAATTCTGGTATCATTTTTTTCTACCAATATGGACTGGTGCTTTCACTATTCATCATACCTGTCACTGGAACAAGAGGCCCTAGTCCATAATATGAGAAACAACCACAGAACATTTTTTTAAGAGGATGTTTGGTGGTTTGGATAAGGTGCGACGAGTTCAGTTTTTCCTTTCCCCTTTGAATGAACTGAAATTGCTGGCCTTGCACAATGAAGTGAGTCTCATCAGAAAACAAGACTCTTTTCCAATCTTCTGCAATCCAATTTTCATATTTTTTGGCCCATGCAAGGTCTCTGGGTGCCTTTTGGCTTTCATTGCCATTGTTAAAAGTTGTTTCTTGACAGGTTTCTTTGCTGGTCTTCCCACTTCAAGAAGTTCAAGTGACTAACAGTCATGGGAGTTACGTGGACACCAGTTTCAGCCAATTCTCGAGCAAGTTCTACTGCAGTTTTACGGCAATCATTTCGGCTAGAATTCGGTAATCAATGGTTATCTCGTTTACTTGTCTTTCTTTTTGCACCACATTTCCCCTTCCTCTTCACTGAGATATTCCCTGACTTCTTATAGCAATTGATGATCCTATTGACTGTAGCCGAACTTACTCCAACATCTGCTGCAATGTCTCTTTGAGTTTTTGTGGTATGCTTAGCCATTGTCACTATCATTACTTGTTTATTCATTGATACATCCATCTTTGTAGGTTACAGTCAAAATGCTGAAATTGACTTTTATTAGACATAACAAAAATAAAAAAAAAAAAAAAAAAATCACTCAATCGATATCAAAACACGTGCTGTACACTGAGCAATGTGAGCAAGTGTCAAAAATAACCACAGTATTGCCATTACAAATAATAAAAATGTTGCCAAGTGCAAAAATGCAAAAATGAAAAAAAAAAAAAAAGTTTCAATTAATCTGTTTGATACTGTACACACAGACACCACGAAAAAGTCTCTTCAGAATTCATTTTAAATCAGTTTTATAATTTTTTGGAGAAAAAAAAAAAAAAAAAAGAGTCCTTTATTCTGTCCTTACACACAGATGTCACACAAAAACATTATTAAATTGCATTTGATAGCGGTCAAAATGGATATTTTCGCTGAAATACGATACCCGAAATTTTTTGCGATTACAATACTTCCTTTTTACTTCATACAAGGAAATAAAAAGTTATATTTATGATTTAAAAAAAAATTATTTTTTAAATTACATTTAAGGGAAAATAACACATATTATATTATTCACTCATTTGTGTCTTTGTTGCTGAAGTTCGGTAATTTTTCCATTAATAATTCATATTGTACACTCTGTCTCTCACTTCTAACAAATATGATAATCGAATGCATTCATCGACTACCATGAATGCACCCACAGCACATGTTGACAATGACAAGGCTGTTGGCAAGAGACAAACATTCTTATACAATCAAAAGTCTTTAATCCGGACTTGTCGGGATTTTGGCGATTCCGGATTATAGATCATCAGTTTAAATCTATTAAGATGGCATGCAAAAATTATAAAATTTAAAATATGAAACCATAATTTATGAAATAAAGAGCAATTATGATCTAAAGAATATCAAAACTTACAAAAAAAAATAAAATAAAAATAAATAAATAAATAAATATTGAATATTTATTTGTTTCAAAATCATAAAAACAACCTTGTATTTAGCGTAGGTATAATGAAACACTCAATTGATTTCGAGGGCAGCTAAAGGTCCCTCCTCATCAGGAGAAAGAAATACCAAGAAAGAAGAAAATAAAGGAGATAAAGTCTCAGAAACATGTGGTCCTTATCAGCACTGCACGTGGTTATAACTGGATTTTTAATCAGAGTTGCACTGGCTGCCTACTTTTACTGAGCCAGGCTATCTGATCAAGCATAAAGGACAAGAAAAATTAGCGAAGTTAAAATAGGGAGCGAGGGGCAAATGCACCTTCACACTCAACATCTGAACTTCAAATAATGGAAAGCAACCACTGAACGGATTTTTATACCCTCTGGTAGTACCAAACGCGAGGAGCTAACGCCATCTATCGGCAAAAATAACCGAATTAAGATAGTAGAATTTTAAAGGCATTAGGAAGAACAGGATTGGACTTCAAATCATTAACTAAACCTGCTAAATCTTTGTGAATGTGAAAAGCCTCAAATCCAATTCACCTATGGAAGAAGCCTTTTGGATAATTTTTGCAGACCCAAAAGTCAAAATTATGGTTAAATGTTCAACTATGATACGTTATTGAAGACTTGTTAATTTCGCCTTTTCTGACATAAGATTCATGTTCCTTGATACGAAACTTCAATGCTCTTTTTGTTTGGCCAATATATCTTAAACCACACTGACACGACCATATAATATAAATTCCCCAAGATTCAAGACAGAAACGCAATCTTTTAGAATCGAAGGGTGAATTTATTAATAGGGGAAAACCAACTTGAAAATTGAATTTCTGGAGAATCCGTTGCAATTTTATAGCTAACAGAAGGATAAATGGAAGCACGACAAGGTCATTATATATTTCTAACAGTGGAATGTCTTCTTTGATGGGAATCTGAAATTTTTTTAACGGCTTTATCAATAATCACGGGAGAAAATCCACGGTCAATCGCAACTGCTCTCAAATAATTAAGTTCATTGGTAAGCAAAGATTCAGAGGAACAAACTTTAAGCGTGCGGAATACATAATAGTAAAAAGAAGCCATTTTTTGCTTAACAGGGTGTTATGGACAAACACACATATATTACTGGAGTCTCTAAACTGATAAATGAAGGCCCATACTGCTCGATCCCTAAGGATCCTTCAACTTCGGACCTCAAGAAAGTTAAAAGTGCTATTAAATCTTCCCACATTCTGCCAACTCAGTTGAAGAAATCACTTATTCCACCTATTACTAATTGCGCTAGGCTTTATGTTCTTCCAAAAGTCCACAAAACCGGTATTCCTTTTCGTCCAATTGTTTCCAACATAGGTACTGCTTCATATCCTTTGGCGAAATATTTAGTTTCCAGATTTTCTCCTCTACTTGCTAACAATATTCACACTGTAAAAAATTCTGTTGAAGTCATTGATAAACTTAAAAATATTTCTCCACTTCGTTCCATTATGGTTTCATTTGATGTCATATCACTGTTTACTAATGTTCCGGTCGAAGGAGCACTAAATTGTCTTGAAACTAGGCTTCGGGAATTTCACTTCACACATACTGAAATTAATGAGTTGGTTTCGCTTACTAAAGTTTCTTTAAGTCAAACCCACTTTGTTTTCCAAAATGCATATTTTCGTCGAGTTGAAGGATTGGCTATGGGTAATCCTCTCAGTCCGGTACTTGCTGACATTTATATGCACTATTTTTGAGATGAAATTATTTGATAAACTATCTTTTCGTCTTTGGATTCGGTATTTCTGTTGACGACACTTTCACACTTTTTGACGGTTATAAAGAGGATTTATCCGAGATTCTATCTATTATGAATTCAATTGATCCAGCCATCCAATTCACTCTTGAAATTGAATCCAACAATTCCCTCCCCTTCCTTGATACTCTTATAATCCGCAATGAAACTGATTTTAGCACCACTGGGTACCGTAAACCCTTTGCAGTTTGTTTACCACCCCATGCCAAGTCATGCCACTCTGTTAAGCAAAAAATGGCTTGTTTTTACTATTATGTATTCCGCGCGCTTAAAGTTTGTTCCTCTGAATCTTTGCTTACCAATGAACTTAATTATTTGAGAGCAGTTGCGACTGACCATGGATTTTCTCCTGTGATTGATAAAGCCGTTAAAAAATTTTCAGATTCCCATCAAAGAAGACATTCCACTGTTAGAAATAATATTAATGACCTTGTCGTGCTTCCATTTTATCCTTCTGTTAGCTATAAAATTGCACGGATTCTCCAGAAATTCAATTTTCAAGTCGGTTTCTCCCCTATTAATAAAATTCACCCTTCGATTCTAAAAGATTGCGTTTCTGTCTTGAATTCTTGGGGAATTTATAGTATATCGTGTCAGTGTGGTTTAAGATATATTGCCCAAACAAAAATAGCGTTGAAGTTTCGTATCAAGGAACATGAATCTTATGTCAGAAAAGGTGAAATTAACAAGTCTTCAACAGCATATCATAGTTGGACATTTAACCATAATTTTGACTTTGGGTCTGCAAAAATTATTTAAAAGGCTTCTTCCATAGGTGAATTGGATTTTCTTGAGGCTTTTCACATTCACAAAGATTTAGCAGGTTTAGTTAATGATTTGAAGTCCAATCCTGTCCTTCCCAATGCCTTTAAAATTCTACTACCTTAATTCAGTTATTTTTGCCGATAGATGGCGTTAGCTCCTCGCGTTTGATACTACCAGAGGGTATAAAAATCCGTTCAGTGGTTGCTTTCCATTATTTGAAGTTCAGATGTTGAGCGTGAAGGTGCATTTGCACCTCGCTCCCTATTTTAACTTCGCTAATTTTTCTTGTGCTGTATGCTTGATCAGATAGCCTGGCTCAGTAAAAGTGCAACTCTGATTAAAAATCCAGTTATAACCACGTGCAGTGCTGATAAGGACCACATCTTTCTGAGACTTTATCTCCTTTATTTTCTTCTTTCTTGGTATTTCTTTCTCCTGATGAGGAGGGCCTTTAGCTGCCCTCGAAATCGATTGAGTGTTTCATTATACCTAGGCTAAATACAAGGTTGTTTTTACGATATTGATTGTCACATTAGCGTGTTTCTCTTCTAGTCTATTCATTTGTTTTGACTTTATAAAACATTTCTTTCAACGCGTGCATGCAAAAAGCATACATTACGCATAGTGGAAATTAGAAAATTGCAACCAGAAAAATATTTAATTTGCATTCATGATATTTAAGGTCAAATTCCAATTCATTGCGCGCAGTGGTGTCTCCCCCCCCGGCACAGATTTCGGAACGGTCAGAGAAACAAAGGATATCCCTTTATCCATTTTTTGCAGCAATTCCACTTTTTGTCTGATGGACATCGAAACATGCTTTCGCTTTGTATATCCTTAGGAAGCTCCTGCATCGGAAATTCTATTTGACATAATCGAAAGTTCAAGCTTACTTTTATAAAATTGCTCTAACAGACTGCACAAAGTAATAAGCCAGATCCAATTCGAAGATTAAGGAACAACGCAATCTGCAACATTAACTGAAATAGATAGTTTTAGCGTATACCGTCCATTATACATTAAACGCGCATGCGTAAACGTATTATGCGCGTGCGCGCACGCATATGCGCAGCCGCAAAGGTCTCACGCGCATGCGCCGAAAGTTTGTATCTTTGAGGTCACGATTATAGATCATTCTGGATTATGGGTGTCCGAATTAACGACTTTTGACTGTATTATACAATTTTTTGTCTCAGTCAATAGGTCTGGAAATGCATGTCACCCAGAATGGGTTCATGTGTCACTTATGAGATGCATGTCATAGGTTCCTTATTACTGCATTAGATTGTGAAACAATGGAAGATGGATACTATGGAATGATTATCTAGAGCTCTTAATAAACATGTCAGATATTTGGTATATGGAAGCCTGTTGCATCAATATTAGAAGTTAAAAAGTAACATAAAAAAGGTCTACAGACTTTTTATTTTATTTATCTCATTTTGTTTTTATTATTTATATATATTTTACTAAATAGATTTCCATTTTGAAGCCTGATACCTACCACATCATTCTGAACAAAAATAAATTGCAAACAATTTGGCATCACTTTGCCATATGCCCTTTATGGCTTATCATAATAATGCATTTGTTTACACACACACACACATATATATATGTATAATTTCCCTCCCACGAAAGCCAGTTGCTTTATATTTGAAAGATATAAAACTTCATGAGCACTGTCCAAAAAAAAACCCTGACCTGATCTTCACTGAACATTCTTTGAATTGAGCTGAGTTGGACCATCAGTTATGCATCAAATGTTTACCATGTTACAGTATGAGTGGCAACAAATACTAGAAATAATTTATCGGAACTTATAGACAGCTCTACATGAAGGATAAAACATGCAATAACAACTCTTCTGAAAAAAAAAAAAAAAAAAAAAATTACTGCTACCTCTCTAAGAAAGATCAACAGCTGGTGTCCAATGATTTTTATCTACATAATGCATTAGTTTTCTTTAAAACATTCACTGTTAGGGAAGATGCACGAAAATTTACCAGAAGCTGACTAACAAAGTTAATATATACCTTCATCACATGCTGGTGCATGACGATAACACCTCATCATGCTTCTGTGCATATTGGTGGCAAAAGTATTAAGTAATGCAAGAAAGAAATTTTAGTATCGTGAAATGCTTCTATTAAGAAAAATAATTATAACGATGAATTGATGGTTCTACATGAGATTGCACTTCCAGAAAACACTTGTTGAATGTAATCCATCATTTACTGGAGGTACAAACAAGAACTAGATTGCAAACAACACAAGTAATTAAACAGAATTGCAACATACCATGGTCAGTGAAATTAAAAAGAGGTGGTAGCTCTCGTGAATTCGGCAATCTGGTTCCAGGTTCCCTTAATTCGTCAAAAAATGGATGAGCACAAGCTTGGAGGGGGGTACATCGAACAGAAGGTGTATATTCCAAGAGCTTTGATACTAAATCAACAGCCTCTGGTGGAGTCCTAGCTCGAAATACCTGTAACATTATAAAGATTACATAAACAATTTAAGATTTTTTCTTCAAAAGAAAATCATTATACATTTCATTTTCTGAATTATCAAATAATTTATAAGACCAAGCAAAGACTCCAGAAATACTGTATCTAAAGCCTAACCTCTTGCATTTATTATTGAATCACTTGTATTCCTCATCTAGTTAAGTCTTACCAGTGAAATACAAATTCATTTTAATAGTCCCTTTACTAGTTCTAGCAGTCTAGTTTAAGATTTATTTTTGGAAACATACACTTACGAGCTAAAGCATTACGACCGTCCCCACATTTTTAATGAACATGTCTGGATGACGTGAAGGGTAAGTAATTAAATGGGAATTGTATTTAACAGTTGCTTGGGGAAGGTAAGGACTTTTTGCACTTACTTTTGCGAATGATGGGAAAGGCTGCTAATCTAAATGAATTTGATATAAGGTACATTGTAATGCGTCGAAGTATCGGAACAAGTATCTTCAAAACTGCATGACTGGTAGGTTGTTCATGATCTGCCATAGTTAGTATTTTGCAAAGTGAATAAATGATGGCAAAACTAGCAGTAGACCCAAAGGGGTTGAATGTCCATGCATCATCAAAGAAAAAGGACATTACAGACTGTCGTGCATGGTAAAGCAAAATCAGCGCTAACCAGTGGCTCATCTGATAGTCCAATACATTGCAAGTCTAAATGCAAGCGTTAAGAAACACACAAGTTCAGAGGACACTGTAAGATATGAGACTGTGCAGCAGACATTCCACTCATGTGCTTCTGTTAGCCAAATGTAATTCTCAATTACACCTACAGTGAGCCTGGAAACATCGAAACTGGAAGACAGCTGCCTGGTCGGATGAATCACAATTTTTCATTCATTAGGTTGACGGTCATGTCAGAGTACACCATCTTTTAGGTGAACAGTTGCTCCCCCTTTGTATAGCAGGCAATATAAAGTCTGGTAGTGACGGTATTATGCTTGGAAGGACGTTCTCATGGGCAGCTCTGGGACCCTCAGATTTGGTTAAACAGACTGCAGACTATCTGAACATAACCTTCTGATCAGTTGCACCCTTACACGGCGTCTGTCTCCCCAGCAGAACAGTGCCGCATGTCACAATGCTTGAACTGTATTGGAGTGGTTCAAGGAGCATAAGGATGAATTCTAATTAATGTCCTGGACACCTAAATCGCTGGATTTTAACTCAAAAGAACACATTTGGAATGTTATGAAGCGGAAGCTCACAGCTCAAATACTACCATGTTGGAATATCTTGATTTTGTGTGACCGTTGCTTAGACACTTGGTACAACCTGTCTCCAGTCGTCTACCAAGAACATGTGGCATCCATGCCAATGTGAGCTGCAGACGTTTTGCAGGCCACAAGTCACGCAATGTGTTACTAAGTAGGTGGTCATAATGTTTTGGCTCTTCAGCGTATATTAACCTAAAAAATTAAGACAAATTTAAATGAAATTTTCTAATAAAAGAACTCATTTCCAAAAAATTTCAATTCAAATTTCTAATTTAAGCTCCCCGAGATAAAGAAAAAAAAGTAATCTTGGTCAATAATTTTTTAATGATAACAAAATTAAATAACATAATTAATTGTTCCACAAATTAGAAAAAACAATTTCTTAAGAAATTACCTTAACTTTGAGAAAGAATAAGATGAATGCCTTCTTAGCATAAACAATTCATTAAACAAAACGACAACAGTTATCTGGAAGTAATCTAAGCACTAAAATATAAAATTCCCATTTTTCAAATCATAACTTATATTTACCACAAGCCAATAACGAATTTTCCTTACTGCCATTATTTCCAGTGATGTTAATATTCAGCATATCTTTAGAAAACAGTTTTGAAGATTTATGTCTTTCATTAAATCTTAAAAGTCTCTAATGTACATAAAAAAAAAAAAAAAAAAAAAATTCTTTGAGGAGGGGAGGGGATTGTTTCTCAGTTTTATTTTAGATAAGGCGCAGGAAGAATTTTCCTGAATTCTGAATTTAGTTTCAGAATCTTGCCATGGCAAAATGAAATGGAATATGGCATCTCAGGCTTCATTCAGATGAAAAACTTGGTCATAAGGCTTTCTGATAATTATTCAGTTCATACCAGTGTAATAGGGTTTGAGCTGAAGTCAATCAGGGAATGCAATGCTGTGCATGTGTAAATGTGCAGTTGACTCAGTGAAATCAGCTACAAAATATCAGTCCAAGTTTGCTTAACAATGATTAGTCAGTTCTCATACCAAGTTTGCCTAAAACTGAAAACTTAAGAATTGTAGGCAAACTCCTTAAACCAGTTTTTGTGGCACAGCAAGATCTGGTTGCCAAGCAACAAAGATCAGTTTACATCTTTTATGACGAAAACGCCATCGCATGAATGAAGCCTCAACCCTTATGATTCTGCTTGCATTTGCATTCCATATGCCTATTCTTTTTAGTCTAAAATACTCCACACCTTAAAATACTTGAAAAGATTTCCAAACTTAATATTTTCTCACATGAATAAATTTGTTTCCTTTCTTTAGTTTCCATCCTTTTCTCCCATAATGTTTTTTCTTACCAAAAATGAACAAAGACAAACAAACAACTACTATATTAAAACCACCTACAAAATTTCATTCAAGGCATTTTGGAGAAAGAGTTACTTGTGGCTTGAATCCTTGTTTGGAAAGGAACCAAAATTTATCCATCTATTTTCAAAAGGATTACATACTCTCCAGAACATCTCACTACTATTGCATCTGTGGATGCCTACTAACATAAAAATTATTTGGGGGAATAAACGAAAAGTCTGCCTTCTCCTCCCAGCTACAATGGAAGTACAGTAAGACCCCGCTTGGATCCGTTCCATCAAAGTAGAGCGTAATGCGAAACAGCGCTAAACGAGGCTATCTTAACATGTAAATAATGGAGTTAGGGGAAGATGGATAGAAAATTGGTTAGGTATTAAATTTAATAATGTTTTTTAATAAAAATAAAACCAAACATTTATTTCTTACAAAAATAAAAACAATATAAACGAATATATTTATAAAAAACAAATAAAATTCTAAGCCAGTCAGATCATTCAGTCTATTCTGTGTTTCCAATTTTCTGCCTTTTTGTCAAGAAGGCTTATGATGAAGATTGGCTTAATGGCATACTGCGTTCAATTTCGTTCGTCAAGTCCATATAGACAGTCGTTTTTCCACTTCGTTTATAATGTTTATTTCTAGAACGGGTAATTCTAGTTGCAGAGCTCGACGTAGTTGCAGTTGCCGATGACAGTATTTTTTCTTTATTCTTAAGAATTGTCCTTATTGTTGAAGTTGCCAAATTCAATGCAGCACTAATTTGAGATTGACTCTCACCAGAATCTAATCTTTAATCACTTGCTTTTTAGTTTCCAGTGAAATGCTTTTTCTGGTTGCTTTCTTTTCTTGTTTTTTATTATCACCCATGATAAAAACTAAAGATCATAATATTTGTCACTGTATTAATCGTTATAGTATTATGTAAATTTATACTTACAATAATGTCAACAAATGTTTCAAATGATAAAAATGCTTCCGTACAGCACCTCACCGCAAAAAACAAGAAACATAACTACAAAGTTTTGGATATGTTATTTGGAAACCTACCGCTGCGCACAATTTCGAGGAATCCCTGTAGTTCATGCTGCGAGCAATTTCGGGGAATCCCGAGGTTAAAATAAAAGAGCGCTAAACCGAAAGTGTTAAGCGGGGTCTTACTGTACTGCTAAATTCAATACTTAGGCATTAGTTCAATGAGCTTGGTGTAATCTGACTGTATGTTTTAAAACTGAATTTAACCCCTTAAAGGGTAGCTCAATGCAATGAATTTTGTCCTGCAGTAGTAAGCAGTTACAACAAAAAAGAGACTGAAAACTTTTGTCATCAGCTTCAAATATAGTTAGTTTCCTTGCCTGGCGCTATATCCCCCCCTCGCTGCAAAATAGGAAACCTACTGTATTAGCCAGCAACCATGAAGTGTCAAATAACTTCTGAAGCATTGCGAGCATCCAAAGAAAGGGCAGTTTTGTTCTTTAACAGAACTCTCTAAAGCTTTATATAATATTTAAGCTCTGACTGGTATTCAGGGGGGGGGGGGGGGGGGGGGGGGGGGGGGGGGGGGGGGGGGTTGGGGGGGGGGGGGGGGGGGGGTTGAAGGGGGGCGGAGAAAATATGCTTTGCAGTGAAAATGAGAGGTATTACTTCTAGCACTCAGGCTAACCAACATGTTACGCATTTAAAGATACCAAGTATATTTGGTCGAATCACTATGTGGTGTTTTTTTTATCCCGAAATAACTCAGGTGAGCCAAGAAGGAAGAAAACGAATATCCTTATTTCTCTGTAACAAATATTTAGACCTGGAATACAACAAAAAGAATTCATACGAAAATAATTGGAATACAACAAAAAAAATTCATACGAAAATGATGTTGCTGGCTACAACCAAAGAACTATTATGTGCATGGCTCCAAAGTTTAAAAGCATTCTCAAAATTTGGTGATTCCTATTAAGACAGTTCCACTAATACAAAAGCATACTAAACTCTTTAGGCTAACATATTTTTATAATCTCAACTGTTTATCAATAAATATATTCTGGGTTTTAATATTCCCACACTTACAAAATAATCATAGTTCAATTTCATCATAGCAGAACAATATATTATAATGTGTAATTGAAGTACTGTATTTCTTCAACGTTTTGAGCCTTAGCTAAGATGTCAGAAATGCCCCTTGCTTTCATATGTACAAGTGAGATAATTTATCATAGTGCTATCATATGCTTAATTCTGAATTCTTCAGTATCAATAATATGTTATTAACCGAAAACAAGATTAAGCTTATGTGTCATATTGTAAAAGTATCACATTTAATATACAGTTCACTGTTGTTTGAAGTAATTCTCAAAGCATTTTGTAATTAATTTTTGAATTTTGGCAGAAAGTACGAGGGCCATCCAGGAAGTAGATTACGTTTCCGTCTGTGTCCGCTAGGGGCGGGGCTAGCGCGGCCATCTTGGGGTCAGAGCGTTGCGCAGCTCAGTCTGCATCTAGCCGTGCTAGTGAGAGGTTCGTGCTGTGCTCCGTTCAGATACTGTGACGGTTTGAAATGTCTGCGTTAATTGAAAATCCCGCGAGCTGCGCTCAGTAATAAGGTTTCTGACTGCAAAAAACTGTAAACCGATAGAAATCTATCGGCAGCTTCGTGAAGTGTATGGGGACAACATTATCACTGAAGGTGGAGTGCGTCAGTGGGTCATAAGATTTCAAAATGGCCGAACCAATGTTCACGACGAAGATCGAAGTGGGAGACCCAGCATAGTGACCGCCGAACTTCTCGAAAAAAGTCGATGCTAAAGTCCGTGAAAATCGAAATTTCACAATAACAGAACTTTCTTTGAGTTTTCCACAAATTTCGCGAAGTTTGTTGCACGAAATCATCAGCGAAAAGCTTGGTTACCACAAGTTTTGTGCAAGATGGATTCCAAAAATCTTGACAGAGGACCACAAAAATCAGCGAATGGCTGCAGCGTTGAACTTTTTGGACGCTTACCATAAGGATGGTGACTCTTTACTCGATCGCATCGTTACTGGTGACGAAACATGGGTGAAACATGTGAAACTGTGAAACGAAATTGCAATCAATGCAGTGGGGGCACACAAGTTCTCCCCAAAAACCCAAGAAATGCATGCAAACAATGTCGCAGGCGCAGGCGGCCGAATTTTTCGACGAAGGAATTTCCAAGCTCGTACATCGCTACGATAAATGCCTTAATTTGTATGGTGACTATGTAGAAAAGTAGTATTTGAGTGTGGCTTTCATCTGTATATAATAAAATTTGTTTCCTATACTTTGTTTATTTTTTTATTCCAAAACGTAATCTACTTTCTGGATAGCCCTCGTAATTTACCTATTCTTGACTCAAAAATCAAATAACATTATGAACATGAAATATATAAATGAGAAAATATTATTACAAAAATTCCTCACTGTTAGTAATTGTCACTCATAATTGCTCACTTTGCAAAACAAAATGAAGCATTACCTAGAAAGCAACTTTACAAAAGTGCTTTCTAGGTACATCACACAACATAGATGTTTCTATTTGCAGAAAATATTAACTTTAGTTTGAGAACATATAAAATGACATTTTTGGCAACAACAATTTTTTTAAAAATTCACAAACAGGAATTTAAACTTCTTTAACAAACATTTTTAACGTTCTAACAAAACAGATGTTCCAAACAAAAGCTATAACACATTTAATTCAATAAAAACCTTGCTCCATGGATGAGCTTTAATTTGGGGAAAGCGAAACTCCGTATAGTTACGATTCATCTCGCGGATCTGCTCCTTTGTTGGAGTGCCCAGAACTTTGATTATTTCAACTAGTTGATCTACACCACTGTCTCCTGGAAAAATTGGTTGACCTAAAAGTAATTCTGCTAAAACACATCCAGCTGACCAAACATCTGAAAATTTGAAGACAGGCCATTAATACCAAAGGCGGGGAAAAAAAAAAAAAAAAAAAAAATAATAATAATAATAATAATAATATTAATAAAAAATCTAAATTAACAAACACAAAAGCAATAATCATAACTAGATAGAAATTAAAACCACTGAATTTATCCGCATAAACTGTCTATATTTCCAATGTAGTTATAAGGTACAATGCACCTCCCCCCCCAAAGGAAGGGTGGACAGTTCCATATCTCTTGTTCTAGTAGGTCGATTGACAAAATTCGACTTGTGTTTTTCATGTCTTGAAAGCGCGACTTAGGATATGTATTAAATTTATATATAGCATTGTTCTAATATAGGTATTTTGACACAAAATCGCACTTTTTCTGAAATGACATGGCAATCTTTTTCCATATTTTGATTCTACGATTCAAATTATGCCAAACTGCCCCACGTTTTGGAAACATTGTGCAAGTAGTTTTTAAAAAATTAGCTCGCAAAATTTTAGCGACTCAATGTTAATTGAATTGAGTATATATTTGTTAACATCTCTTTTTTTTTCATTAAACTTACTTGACTTTTCCTTTCACATTTCGAAATTTAGGTTCATTCCAAATAAAATTTGCCCAGCTTTTATGATTTATTTTTCAAATAATTTTTATAAATTTTTCAAAAAAAATTGAGTTATAACCTATAAAATTTTTATCATCTTAAAGTAGATATATTTTTAGGCACACCTGCAAAAAATTAGAGTCTTTTATTCAAAATTTTCGAAGACGGATTTACATGTTGGTGCATTTTGAAATTTGGCATATTTGTTATAAGCGATAATGCCAAATGTGGTTTATGCACGTTGTTAAAATTATTTGAAAGTATGAACGATGACCTTTTTCCACTTGTGTGCAATGAAAAAAAGGAAAGGAAAATAGGTTGCTATAAATTAAGGAGTTCACAAGTGAATTATTCTTGGCGCAAACTGGGAAAAAAAAAATGCTTATTAGCTCTTTATCGTGATCCTGAATAAATAATTCTGAGAAACAGTTATCTTTCGCTCATCACGTTTTGCTGCTACCTTTGATGTCAGTTAATAAAAAAAAGTGCCATCAATACAATTCCATGTACTTGTAGTCCAGATTTGTTCCTTTGCCTTCAAACTTGCAACTACCCATATTTTTACTTTGTAAATAAGGCAATGAAACTCTTGTTCCTGAACAAGTTTCTGAAGTCGCCGTCTGTCTCAGACTTACTAACAACCTCATAAAAAATGCAACAATGGCTTGATACACAATATATTAAAATTAATTCCTAAATCAAGGAAAGTTCATACCACTGGAGAAGAATTGATAATGCCAACTATCAAGAAAGTTTTAAAAATGGTTTTTAAAAGATGCATTTCATAACTTCACTTCTGTGTATTGCACATAAAATTAGTTAATAATGTGTTATGTATTAAAATATGTTATTATTAAAGAAGTGACCCTTTTTGTGATGATTGGTTGGTTAGGGTTTTTTGGCACAAAACCCATAGGGGTTATATTGTGCAAATTAAAAGGCCGTGTATTTTCAATAAAATAAATAAATAAATAAATAAAGACACAAAACACATATACTATTTAGTACATACTCACAAATAGAAATCTAAGACAAAGTTACATATAGGGTATAAAATAGCAATAATGTTTAATAAAACCTGCAATAAAATCAAACTCATAAAATTCTTTTACAAAAGATATGAAAGACCATGAAATGCAGATAGAAAACTCTTATCGTCAAAGGATAAATTTTGATAATATGGATACAACTGGATTCCAGTTAGACCTACTAAAACACAAATTGAATTCAGTGCATTCAAATAATGTGATAAAACTTTGTAGCTTTTAAAAAGTTTAAAATGTTAGGATGTACTTCTTCACCAACTAAATCTTTTGCTGAAATCTCACAAATATTAAAATATAAATTTCAATAGCAATTAAAAATTGGACAATCAATTAAAATGTGTTAAATGAGTTCTGCATTCAGCACATACTGGTTCAGTTTCGCCCATCAACAGGTACCTGTGTGCTAGAACTGGAGAAGAATGGAGAACTTATGTGACCGACTCTTAGCCGGGTCAGAAGGACCTGCTCCTTTCGGTTTGGGGCACATTTCCAATGCTTTATTTTAGGTTTTATATTTTGTAATTCATTGGTTAACTGTGCATCCCAAAGTTCAAATTTCCATTTCATCAAAATTTTCCTCCCAATCAGCGTGTTAATATCTGAATAGGGGATAGGTCGGCTAGATGCCCCATAGGCATATTGTACCTTTTATAACAACATGACTTGGTACCCAGCCATAAAAGATCCAGTAACCTTTGGCCTTGAAGCTAATATTGAGCTTTAGCACTTCTACGATTAACGGATTTGTGTTATTCACATACGGTTCAAGAGCTTTTAGCACACTTAGTAAGTCTGTGTAAATAATGAAATTTTTCCTATGTTGTTTACCTATGAAAGATAGAGCTTATAGTAAAGCAACGATCTCCGCAGTAAAGATGGTACAAGCAAGATGAAGCTCTCTTCCTGCGATGATATTCTCGCACACAAAGGCAAAGCGAACGAGATCCTGGGACTTAGATCTATCTGTATATATTGCAACATAGTCAATGAAAGCCTGTCTATGTTCACAAAAAATCTGCTTGTACACACATCACTGGCATTATTGTTAGCTAAGTTGAAAAATATGTTGAGAAGCTCAATGTGTGTATCTTTCCAAGGAGGTATTTCCATAAACTTTACCGCTTGGAATTCCATCTCTTCCAAGTCGTGTTCTTGTATCTACTGTCGGATGCATACTCCAAAAGCAGGAATACAAGAAGGGCGCGCTTGGAAGAGCAAATAAAACTGGCTATCAAGCACTAAATGGTTGGCTGGATGATCAGGATGTGATACAGTTTTAAGCAAGATTGAAGAGACAATTGCTCACACCTCGGCTGGAGGGATGGGTCAATATAAAAAAGGATTACACTCAGTACACAGCCCTGTGGCACTCCCTCTTGGTAAAAGGATTTAAAAAGCACAGAACCAATTTTTACTTGAAACAGCCTGTCTTTCATGAAATTCTGAATGAAAATTGGAAGTTTTCCCCATAGGGCATTATGAAAAAGATCTTGGAGAATTCCATATCTACATGTCTAATCATATGCCTTTTCCATGTAAAAAAAAAAAAAAACTAAATGGCTTCTCTTAAGAAAGGCAATACACACTGCGGTCTCAAGGAGAAGCACATTATCAGTTGTCGATTGGCCTTTCCAGAAATCACTTTGGCTTGGGGATTCGTAACCATTTTTTTCCCCAAAATGGACAAGGCAACTATTTATCATTTTCTCCAGAAGTTTGCATAGACAGCTAGTGCAATTGATAGGACGACAATTTGGATTCCTTGGGTCTTTTCCAGGTTTGTTATGGGGATAACTACAGCATTAAGGAAAAAACAATCCTTTCATATTCTCTTATACAGAATGAGAAGAGATTTTCGTGATTTATTGGACAAATGCTTCAGCATAATATAGGAAATGCCATCATGGTCAGAACTCATCATAGGCACTAATGATAAAACTGTTCACCTCCGGCATAGTGAAATCAGTGTTATATGCTTCTGTATTGAGAGTTAAAAAAAGAGTATGCAGAGTTAAATTTGATGGATGTATTCTCACAGTTTAGCTGAGAAGAATGCTGGCAGATACGTACTATTTGACACAGCATTAAAAGTCTCACCTATGATATTAGAAACATCTTCTCTGCTGCTATACATTAAGCCATCCTTTTCCAAAATGGAAAGTAAAATGATCCTTATAATTACCTGAGACTTTTTAAACTTTTTCCCAAACACACTTGCCTTTTTTTTTAAATTGAAAATTTTAAATTCCTTGTGCACCACAAAGTATTACACCAGGCTTACAGAGGTACGAAAAAAAAAAAATTAAAATTAAATTACAAATTCACAGATGACATATAAGAGATAAATTTACAGAAGAAAGAGAAAGCCATTTTATGTTGGGACAAATACGTTAAGAGAGGGAGGAAATGTAATATTCACAGAGTTTAACTAGAATGAGTTCCTTTTGTCCTTCCTTGAGCTTTGAACAATAGAACAACAAATGTTCGACATTTTGCACTCCCCCGAAACTGCATGAACACAAGTCTGTACTAAATAATCTAAATCTCTTCAGATAAAAGTTGAATTTACCATGTCCAGTTATAAATTTGAGTAACTTCAAAATTGCAGAAAAAGTGTTTATTATTCAATCTGTGAGGATAGCAGGAATGGAAAGAAAATATAGTTTATTCAAAGAGGCAGTAGTAGAATTCATGTATAGTTCATTCCACTTGAGTATTGTATCATTTTTATTTTTGTTCTTGTAAAATGACTTAAGAAGTAATTACTTGAAGATGTGAAGCTTGTTTTGCCAACCAATCAACTCTTTCATTTCCTAGATTGCCAGTGTGGCCACATACATGAGAAAAGATAACATCAACACCTTTATTATTAAGGTCTTTAAGAAGGGCATGAGTAGTGACAATTAATTTATTACATGAGAAGATATTCCTAAGAGAAAATAAGGATGATAGAGAATCAGTGCAAATAAGAAATTTAGCACTTAGCGAACAGTTGTTAGATATCCACTTAATTGACTCACTAATGCACAGTAATTCGGCTTGGAAAACACTGCATTCATTAGGAATTCTAAAGAGTTTGTATTCCACACTTGCTTGGAGTGGAAAATGACTAATTAAAGATATTTAACCAAAGTTAATACAATTTTTAAATTAGTTAGCCCGTAATACAGCAGAGCGTAGTAAAAGCTTAGAGACGTAGCCAAAAGGCAAGGCAAACGCGTGCTATTCAGGAATCTTAATTCTCTCTCTCAAAGTCATTGGAACTTCGACTTAAATACTACTCCTTCTCATTTGCATTTAATGCAATTCTAAAAACTCATTCTGGTAAGGAATTGCAAGCTGAAGCAAGA